CATGATTTTTCTATTGTGATTAAAAACCAAATTTTACGTTTAAAATCTTGTGAAATTATTATTTTTATTTTTACAAACACATATTATTTGTTAAAAAATTGTATATATATAATGCACATCACAGTGTCATGGTAGATGATTTAAATTTCAACCGACCAAAATGCCAATGATTTAAATTTGAATACACCTATTCGTTTGACCAAATGTCTGGATGATTTAAAATTGAGCCCATAAATAAATTATTTAAATTTGAACACACCAGAAATTTTATGTACTTTTTATTTATAAATATATTGAAAGTGGTATTTAATGGCTGTCATATATATAAACTATTTTAATATAGTTGCAATGAATAAAAGTTTGAATGAATAATTTGTAATGTTATTCATAATGTTTGTGACTTATGAGACACGAACACATAACTCCATACATATTTGCCAGAGGGCGGCTTAATAATTTTTTAGACTTAACGTTGATTAAAGAGGTAGAAAATAGATAATAACATTATTATTTTTTAGACTTAAACGGACAAGGCTGTGAAAATAACTCATTTAATATCTTTGTCCCGTGCATCGCACGGAGTACGTACTAGTTTAGATCTAACAATCGATCAAGCCTCGTGTGATCATCAAGATCAAGATCAGTACTAATTATGTCGTCTTCCGCATCAAATAAGTATTTCGTATACACCAAATTATTTATTCAAGATTCATGATGAAGCCCCAATTAAATCTAGTGTGTATTAATTATTTTTAAATTCATATATATATTTTTTATAATAAATAATACATATTTTTTTTTATTGCTCTTCTCTTGTCGCGTACTCAAAGTTCAATATAAAATTTGGAGAATTTAGTTTTATAATGGAAAAGTATTCAACACCTCAAAAGTGCACATTTTTGTATTATTTGTATTTGTTTTTTTTTTGAAGCTTCTTGAAGTTTGGGACCAAAAGTTTTGACACAAATCCAACGATTTATTTGGAATCACATTGTCTGTTATACTTGAATTAATTAATAATAATTCTCACCATTCACCATATTTATTTATTATTCTAATTTTCCTAATTAAGCAGTTGAAGAAAAGTTTCAAGAAACCACCAAGCTTGTTTTACCATTGAATATACACACAAAATAAATATACAAATATTAAAACAGAACTCAAGTTAAAGAATCAACAATATATAACATCTATTTTTTTTTTTCAAGTCACAAAACTTAATTATAAATATTTAAATTCAAATTATTGTACATTCTTCAATCACTACAAAAAAAAATATATATTCCGATAGAAAAATATAATGGCAAAATATTCGAACACAAAATTTAACGGAGATATTAGTGCTATACGCCGGTCTCACTGAAAATTTTCAAAGACGACCAATTCTGAAAAATACGTAGGAATTAATTTTTGCTTTGGAATTTGCAGTCGGAATTTGATCATTCCGGCCAACAACAATTTTTCTAAAGCTAATTCTTCTAAGAAATTCCGTTTGTACTATTTTCTCCATCGATAATTTCAACTTTTGAAAAAAAATATCGCATAAATCGTCAAAATCCAATAAATATTGCAATGAAAGCCTATTTTTACTTTGAAATATTTTTCTTAGAATGTGAAGTATAACATTAAATTTGAGTTGTTGTTGCAATTCTATTTAAATATACTATTGTTGGTATTTAATTATTTTTTTATAGTGAATCATAAAAACACATAAGACAACTCTTCGAACCATCATCCCATATATTGTGGATTTAGAGTTTTTTAGTTCTTAGAATATAAATCTAAATACACTTTTTATTATTAAAAAACAAAAANNAAAAAAAAAAAAAAAAAAAAAAAACTACACAACAATGCACAAAATGTAGATTAAATGATTAATTAGGACCATTAACACATACCAATAGAAGCTCTAATTATGCTATGTTTGATAGACAAATAAGCTAGCTTAAGTATAGTTTATTTGATTAGTTTATAAGCTTTTTGTATTAAAATAAGTCTCGTTTGGTAGGACGAGCTTTTTTAAAAAGCTCGAACTTATTTGATAATTAAGCTTCTTTAGGTAGCTTTTCAAATAAGCTAGTTGAATTTTTTATTCTTACTAGTTTATCAGCTAATTTTACCAAACACTTTTATCATATCATATAAACTAACTTTTCAACAATAAATTATAAGCTATAAACTATAAATTCAAAAATTACTGATAAGCTATAAACTAGCTTATCATCTAATTTTACGTATACTAAAAACGGATGTCTTTCTTTCTTTCCTCAGACTCATTCATCCCCGGATAAGGCTACAAATGATTTAACCTCCGGATGTTGACAGCTCCACTCTGCCCACGTGTCACACAACCATTGGTGCCATTTGTCCAAGGGCGGCGCACCAACCAGACAAACCCAAGCTGGACATATTATTTGGGTTGATCGATCAGCACACAATTCTTCTATTTTTATTTTTATTTTTTATTTTATTTTTTCTCAAAATACAAATTTTCGAAGTGCTTAGTGCAAATTAAATGTGGTACTAAATAAAATGATTAATAAAATAAATAATAACCTTTATTGTGGGGGTGGCGTGAAATTTTTGTTATCACGCCGTCCAAACAGTCCTAATTTGATCCCATATACAGCCAACCCCACGCGTAATCAATACCATTTTTACTGCTCTTGTAGTTTTACCCGGCTCGATTCCAAATTAGTCGGTTATCCTGTGGATCCGAAAACTGAAAAGTCCCCATACCAAAAAAAAAAAAAAAACATTTTTACCAACGATGTGTACAAATTTTATCTCTATATTATATATATATATATTCATTTTTATTTATTTATTTATTTTGTATTATCTTGTTTTTTTTTATTTTGATAATGCTTCACGAAATATTAATTTCAAAATTGATTTGATAGTGTAAAATTACTGAATTTTATTAAGCGTGTATATACTCTATCAAAATTTATGTCAATCAAACAACGATCTATCGAAATTTGTTTGCTTGCTTACCTAATTTTTGTTTAAAGTTATGCCCACATCGGTTCGCGTTCATGTTGTAATATATAAATTAAATAATTCGGTTTCTATTTCATGTTGTTAGTATACTTTTCTCATTTAAAGTTCAGTGTTACTATCGTGCGCCCTTGCACACGTAGCAATTAATATATACATGTTCATTTTAAATTGCCTTGGTACATCTTGTTAAGTATTTGCGTTTAAATTTTGCCTATTTTCATATATATAGCAATATAATTAGGGCAAATGATGAGTGTAGCTTTCGTGGGACCAGTTTGTAATATTCAAAGTAAGATATATATGTATTAACCAAGAGCGCTTGGATGAGATGGTTTGGGTTTCTTCTATCTTAACCAGTGGTCTCGTGTTCGAGCCCTGAGAATGCAGCAGTATTAAAACTCTTGAGGGAGAGCTTTGCCGCCGTTGTGGTCCTACCCGACTCGATTCCGGATTAGTCGGTTCCCCTGTGGATCCGGAAACCGGAAAGTTCCTATACCAAAAAAAAAGATATATATGTATTAAAAAAGAATATGCACATCACTCTCACTACCAAATTCATTAACTACTTGATTGCACTTTTCTAACCATTTCTCATTTTTTTTTTAAATAATACAAATAAAAAAAATTCATCATCACCCTTCTCTATATATATTACCAAGAAGCCTCTCTCTTTGTATCTCTATCTCTCTCCATCTCTGTGACTCTCTCTCTCTCTCTCTCTCTCTCTCTTTCTCTCTCTCTCTCTCTCCGCTCGAACAAGAACAGGACAAGAAAAATAATTTCTGGTTAGTGTTTTTTATTTCTTCGATTTGATTGAGCTTATTTTGTTGTTCAGTTGTTCTTACATATGTTATCTTACGTGAATTAGTTCAATCTTGCATGTTTTAGTTATATTCCCATGTGTTTGTGTAATTTTTCTTAAGATTTTTTTTTTCTTTTTATTTCTAAATCTTTCATTTACAAAAAAATAAAAATAAAAAAAGTAAAGTAACGTAAAATACGTACAAAACAATTTTTATTTTTTTTTATTTATTACATTTTTTGTTATCTTTTCCTGTTTGTTCAATGTATCTTGTAAAATATAAATGATTTCTTCAATTAATATATATATATATATATANNNTATATATATATATATATATATATTACCTGTCTAAGAAAAAAAAACTTCATTATCTTTTTTGACCTAATTATTTATTTGAATTTTGTTACTTCATATAAGAATTAATATATATATATATATGACTTGTTAGATTAGATTAAATTAAACTATATAGTTTAATTTAATCTAAGGTTAGGTTTGGTGCATGTGACAAAAATTTCTTGACCAGCATATATAGGAAAGCATGCAGTGAAATGCACTCATAAAAAAATGGACATGTTAAGTATTAAAAAATATTTTTTTTAAATATTTATCTTTTTTAAAATAATAAATGAAAATTATTAAGGTCAATTTTCACGGCTTAATTACCACTTTCATGTTCAAAAAACATACCTTGTCTCAAAATTAACTTTTAATTTACTATGCATGCAACTAAAATATACTAATTGGCCTAAGTTTTTGTTGTGTGTGGTGGGCACCACAAATTTGATGTGTTGTATCTTTCTTTTTCTTTTTTCTTTT